AGCAGGGAACACATCAGAGAACACACCAGTGAACATACCAGGGAACAAACCAGGGAACACAGCAGGAAACACAGCAGGGAACACATCAGGGAACACATCAGAGAATACACCAGGGAACACAACAAGAAACACACCAGGGAACACAACAGGAAACACATCAGAGAACTCATCAGTGAACACACCAGTGAACATACCAGGGAACACAGCAGGGAACACAGCAAGGAACAAACCAGGGAATACATCAGAGAACACACCAGTGAACATACCAGGGAACACAGCAGTGAACATACCAGGGAACACATCAGCAAACACAGCAGGGAACACATCAGAGAACACACCAGTGAACACACCAGAGAACATACCAGAGAACATACCAGGGAACACACCACGGAACACAGCAGGGAATACTGCAGGAAGCATAGCAGAGCCAACGAACCAACACAGAGACAGGGGAGCACAGGGTTTAAATACACTGGGAAGGTGTAGGTGATTAGACACAGGATTCAATCATGGAGTGGATCAGAAATTGATCCTCGAGGCGCACCATCACGTAACAAATCATGAGCTGACAGTGAAACACAATGATCAGTGTCTACTTATGGACATCAATGAAATCAAGCATTGGGACCTCTATATTTGCACATTCACATTCTGAACCTATCCCGATGTAAACTGGGGAGTAAAGTGTTTGGTTATTTGTGTTTTCCTAAAAGTCAACCTTGACTTCTGGTTTCACACGGGACATGAGCGGTGGTTTCCTGGGTGAAAACCCACCCACCCTCCTTACGTTGATTTTTTTTCATCTCTTTATACAACATCACCTGTTCTTGGCTCACGATTTTATTGATTACATACAAATTGATCGCGTGGTTGATATACGAATTATAGCACTTTTTGTAGATGTTGCTACGAACAGAGGCCTCACAGAGGCAGGACTTCTTGAGATTAGTTGCATATGAATGCATTTAATCAAAGAAAGGGACAAAACGATAAAATCAATTGATTAATTAGTTTATGGTTGAAATAAAGGGCTGAAAACATTCATCCCTTCACAACACACGAATGTACAGTGTTTCCTCGACCAGTGTTTGACCCAACAGCACTTATGTTAAGTTTCTTATGAAGCAAGCAAAGGATCATGTCCTCAATCAATTAACATGTTTATCCTGGTCTCCTTCTAACATCAGGGAGACTTGAGCCTAATCTCAAAACGCTCCACAGCCACCTGGGACTCCTCTAGTCCGCCGCCGGCTAACACTCCTGCGGCCCCCTGTAATCTGTAACATTCAAACACAGTTAGCGTCCACAGTTCAGACTGAGGGGAAGATGCAACTCCATAGCAATTGGAAATGACACCAACCTGCTGCTTCGGAAGGGCGATGCTGGGGCACGTTGTAAAGCCTGAGACCTGCTGCCAAAGAGCATTCTAAATATATTGAACATGATGAGGGTTATGGACAAATGAGGTGTCGGTATGACTGCTGATGCTCACTGCCTGTGCTTTTTTGTTGGTTATTTACTTATATGTGACACACTTACATCTGTATGTTATATTTCAAACTGTAATCCTTTTCATATTTGCTGCTTGTAGTAACAGTTGAGTAGTCACTATTTGAGCTCTTTTAACAGGTGCTATAGTCTGTCCAATCTGCTTTTGTCATAATCCGTACAGTATGGAGCTGTGGATTATGGGTACTACAAACTAAACCGATGGCTGAGCTGCATGCTCATCCATTAGTGGAGCAGACACTGCTTTCAACTTTTATTTATTTCCTGTTTTTTTCTTGTTGAAATCTCTCATCAGATTCCTCAATATAACGAGGTCATCAGCCAGGGCTGCATCAGACACGTATTCATTTGAATCTCACGAATTAATAATAATGTGAATGGAATTGACTATTCTTGGTCTTAATTACCAAGTAATAGTCGTGACCACTCTTTTAATGAGGGGAGTTTAAACTAAATCCTGTTGATGCTGCACTGGATTCCAGTTACATAATTGGTAACACTTTCTATGACAGCCATGTCTATATTGCATTATAAACATACTCACAATGTGATGTAATCTGTTTACAGTGCTGTATTATTATAGTATAAGCCCTCATATATATTCATAATGCTTTATAACCATAACACATAGAGAACATAGAGAATTTTATAAAGACTGATTAGTAAAGTTGAGTTCAGTGTGTTGTTCTTGCATAAATGTATTGATCATTTTTCAATTAACTTAAAGCAAACAGTGACCTCTTATAGTAACTTGTAATAACATCATAATGCATTTTAAGTGATTAAAAAAGATTATAATAATTATAATACACTATGATTTATGCAAAAAAAAGGCCAGCAATTATGAAATATATTATTAATTATACCTTATAAGTCCTTAAAAAATGGGTTATGATTATTGCTGTAAAGCATTATGAATATTCATGAGTGCCTATGACTAATAATACAGTGCTATAAGCAGAACATAAAGCATTATAAATATGTTTGAAATGCACTTTAGACATGTGCATTACAGAAAGTGTTACCAAACGATTATACTTATAAAAATCAATAAAAAGCACGATGAGACTTTGGTTGATGTCGGCTCAGTCACATGAAGACCAATGTGCTGTTGGGGCCCTTGACGGATGGTGGGCAGGAACCCGCTCATTAAATACGTGTCTCCATTTAGCAGCAACAAACAAGTGGATGACCTGAAACGATCAAGTGTGACCGAAACAGATTACCTTTTAAACCTGTTACACTTATTCATTGGGACGTTCCCACTAATCTGCTTTCACTTCTTTTCCTGGCACCGGTGTTCAGATGCAGACGTGTTAAATCCTGAACACATACTGTACAGACAAGCCCCCCCCCACACGTGTCCCAGTGTCTGCTTTGCTGTTACCTCCTCACTGTGGAGGGTGTTTGGTTTGTTTCTCAGCAGGATTACGGAAAAACTACTGCCCCTTACCAAACACACACACATACATACATGAATGTGCTCGCCTATGTGCAAAAATACAGTAATAATCATAATTATCACTAATAGACATTTTAATTGAGACATTAAAATATTTATTTTCATAAATGTGGACATTTTGGGCAGATTATGCGTTCTCTATTTTGTAAAAATGAGCTTTGGGCAAAGGTTAATTATAACGTTATCATGATGTGTTCTAATGTAATCTTTTAAAATGGAAGAAACTTAAATAAACACATTTTTAAAGGTTTTCACAGCAATTGAAAATAGATAGTAGTGAGAACAATTATGACCTGTTCAAAAATGGTACCCAACGATCTCTGATTTATGTCTTGTTTGTTTCACAAAGACACATGCAGGAACAAGTTTGAATAAAAGTTCCTTTAGTCAGCTAGAATTGTGTATTATACTCTATGAATAGCCACTCACACACTCGTCAGCTCACAAAATGGATGTGAACAGCAGCTAAAGTGAGCAGTTACAATACAGACAGTGGCCAACACCACGAGGTCTCTGGGGAATTAGTCCACATTCCTTTTATTAGGACAATCTCAACCCCCCATCCAATACATCCCCATCCACGACTCCCACCCTCCCAGCCTCCAACACTTTGATCAGTGTGCTGTTTCCAAAATCTCACTGATGTGGAAGATATTAACAGTGAAGGGAGTTATGGTGGTGAGGAAGGGGGGCAGAGAGAGAGGGGGGGGGGGGGGGGGGTATTTAATGAGATAAACCAGTGGTGAGAAAGTTGTATTATTTGTCGCAAATTTTACAGGAACAACATAGAGATAACATCTGATTTTTTACATTTTAATGTTTTTTTTCTCTCATTGTGTACAGACAGAGGAGTTCAGAAAGTGAGGGAAGAGCTGTAAACAGATAATTACAGCGTCATAACCCTTTGATCTTCGTGGTTTCATTCCTGGTTGACGTGGTTGTTCTTTTTTCACTAATTTTGTAACTCTTTAGGTTCATGTGTTCACCTTTCTCTCTTGTATTACATGTGTCTAAATATGTCTGTTTTTTATGTTTTAAGTTGTTGCTTTTGTTTGTTTTTTAATGCTACAGCAGAACCAATTGGGTCAAATAAAGGTCTTTGACTTTTGACTTTAAAGCTACTCGTTCATTCTCAATCCCATCTTTAATTACAAACGTCAGTGCCTCGATGAACTATGAGATGCACCGGGCTTTTTTTCAGTGTATTTGTAACCAAGTATTTCAGCATCAATTCCTAAACCTGGTAAAACACACGAAACACGAGCAGGAACTTTTTTGTAGGATATCATACTCACCGCTGTATGAGGACACTTTGCATATAGTTTGAAGCGTAGGCCGTCGGTATTTGACGAGTTGGGAGTGAGAACGTGTTGGAAGCAGCAGCTGTGGGAAATGTTGGCAGTGACTTCACACATTCAGATCTGGTGCAGCTGTAGAAGAGTGATCAGTATATGAGAGTGGACTATGAACAGTAATGATGGAGTACATACATGCATTGTTTCCTGTAACACTCTTGCACATGTGTGGGCAAATGGAGTCCTGAGTCTGCCAGTAACAATGACAACTTCTGATTTATCCCGGGACTCCTTCAGGAAACACTACTCTGTAATACACACATATTGTTCTTAAATGCATTAAGTAGTCCTCAGCATAACATTCCGTTTGCTTTTATTAGGAACGTTCTGCACAGCCACTTCGGACAAATGTCTGTCTGCACCCTGCCAGAATGGAGCTACCTGCGTGGACGACATGGATGATTACGCCTGCATCTGTGCCCGAGAGGGGGTCCTACACATGGGCAAAAACTGCGAAGAGCTCTATGACGCCTGCTCCTTTGCACCGTGTGAGGACTGCACCAGCACCACTGGCACCGCGGAGTACCACTGCATCTGCCCGGACGGTCTCACGGGGGACAACTGCACGGAGGAGGTGGACGAGTGTCAGAGCAACCCGTGCTCCGAACCCCGCTCCCTGTGCGTGGACCAGCCGAACGGATACTTCTGCAGGTGTCCCGCTGGGTACGGGGGATTGGGCTGCAGGACGCACGTGACCGACTGCGTTGACGAACCCTGCAGTAACAACGGAACCTGCGTGTTACGACCGGAGGGCTTCGAATGCCGCTGTGTGCCGGGGTTCGAAGGGAAGGCCTGCGAGGAGGACGTCAACGAGTGCTCGTCAGAGCCCTGTCAGAACGGGGCCATCTGCATGGACGGAGTGGCAGAGTTCCACTGCTTCTGTGTGCCAGGTTTTCAGGGTTACACCTGCGAGATCGACATCAACGAGTGTGCCTCACGGCCCTGTGAGAACAACGGCACCTGCATCAATGAGAAGGACCACTATGAGTGCGAGTGCCTGGAGGGCTTTGCAGGTACATCCAAATGTACACACACACACACACACACACACACACACACACACACACACACACACACACACACACACACACACACACACACACACATTTTTGGCAGATGTCCTTTCACATTTCAAACATACAGTTATCCGTCAACTGTTGCTGTTTGCATTTTGTAATTTACATTGCCACAATTTGGTGGCTTTGGGGTATGTAGACAGGAAGTACAATGTTGCAGTGAAGGCAGTCCCCTTTCGGTCGGTACCCTCTGTACAACACATCAGTATAGGGGAACGTGTCCTCACGAGATCACCCCGAAGAAAGCCTGTCAGGGACGTTGTCAACAGCCTCTTCTCTTCAGTCTCTTGTTTGCCGTTTACCTCGTTTAATCTCACGACAGCAAAACCCTCGATTTAACTTTCCAACAGGGGGGGGGGGGGGGGGGGAGCTGCTTGTTAGTTAAAGGTTTTCCCAAGCCACTCCACGAAAGTATATTCGATCACCATCTGATCAGGCAGGTCGCATCAAGGGCGCGAAGTGTGGACACACATATGCGGACGCAGCTGAGTTCTGATCTGGCACATCCAATCACAATAGTTGCATTGAGAGGACAAGTGTAACTACGGCCAGAAGGCCTCTACACAATGTTGGCGTGATGAATAAACAACACAAAATACTTTCTTGTCAATATTACATGTCTAGGGTTTTTATTGTGAAAGGTAAGAACAGAAGGAGTGGATCTGGTCTGAAAGGAGTAATAAAGATGACTGTCTTGGTTCGGACCATTGAGCATTGTTGTTGTACAATATAGTACACATTTTGAATATGCACATTCTGCACAGCGTGATTGGTTGACGCCTTCATTTTGAATGCGAAAGCGATGCTTTTTACGACGCTGTGTGAAAGTATTCATAACAAAAACAACAGTTCTAAATAAATATTTTGAGTGCACAGTAATATAACTCCATATTGCCTCAGCCTCCTGCGTGCGTGTTTGGAGCTGTGAGTGTAGATGTTTAATATTATGTCATCATTAATCATCTCCTCGAGCAACACGTATTTGAGCCGAGACAGGGACGTTCTGTTCGCTGACAGCGTTTTATTTGTTTTTCTACTCCGTGTTCCTCGCAACCATTTGTTGTTTCCAAAGTGTTCCGTTTGTTCCCGATAAACTGGGCATGGGGAGTATTTTAAGTGTGCCGTGAGATGCTGCTAGTCAGACGTCTTATCTGCGGGTCAGATAACCTCTCCGTGCAGAGTGAGAAGAAACACTCCCGTCTTGCTTTTTCTTGCACTCCCCTCTCTTCTCCACGAGCCTGCTCTGTGTCAGAGGAGCTCCGTGTTATCTGCGAGCAGTGGAGTGGATCGGCACCGCTGCATTCCGCCGGCACGCTATCACTTTGTTTGGAGAATGTAAAGACGGGCTTTTTATCACCGCTGGTATCTGGAGACCAGAATAGACAGACTGACACAGACATTGATGATATGGACAAAAAAAATGTGACCGATCATTTGGCTATAAACTGCAGCTTCATTCCATCATCACTATCACCATCATCACTTTTCACATGTCTCTTTCTCATTACAAGTTGTTCTTGTCCCCCCCCCCCCACACACACACACACACACAAGGAGTCAACTGTGAAACCGAGATCGATGAGTGCGGGTCCGGCCCCTGTCACAACGGGGCCACCTGCCGCGACCTGATCGCCGCGTACTCCTGTGAGTGTCTCCCCGGGTTCGACGGCGCCGACTGCGAGGTCGACGTGGACGAGTGCGCCAGTGAGCCCTGCCGGAACGGAGCCGTCTGTCACGACATGGTGAACAGGTGGGAGCTGAATGCGCTGTAGGAGTTACAACAGTGATAGACCTGTGCAGGGTTTGGGGGGTTGGTTGGCAATGTGCTGCTTCATCAGATGGTCCCCCCTGTTAGTGATGTTGTACCAAACCTCAGGTTGTGCCTCTTATTTATTATCATTATCACAGAGCTAAACATTCGTTTTTCTGACAAATTAATACGCAAATCTTTGAAAATACAATATATAACAGCACTTACCAATATACACTTTATGCTCACTACAAACTATGTTTCTAAAGG